CTTTCTTTAAAACTAACAGGCAAGGGAGAACTATTTACAATTTAAAGAGAACTATTAACAATTGAAAAGGCTACAGATAAGTTAGAGCGAGAAGTTCCAAGCACCAGCACTGGTGGCAAGCAGGAACTGGGGAAGGAACAGGCCCGGCAGCACCCTATGTAGCGCAGAATATGTGCGTCACTCCAGAGGAGCTGTAGCTGGTCCACTGTGGGTACTGCTGAGGGAAAATTTTCCGGCACTGGTGCATGTGAGGAGCGCACAAACCTACATTGAATGGACATGAGCAAGCACTCGAAGAAGAACTGTTGTTTTCAGTAATGAAGTGTCATCCTTTGTAATTTGGGTAATCTACAACTATAATTAGCTGACCTTGCAAAGACTTTATGATCTAGGATTGCATCATTTTAAATGGTGCATGAAGGAAAAATTAACATCTCTAGGCAATTTTTGAAGCATTTTTGCTTTCAATTTTCAAATGAGTCATCTTAGTCCCCTGCAACGAGAGGAATCTGAAGAAATAGAAATTTTAAAATCTCTCTTCACAAGATGCTGCTCAGTAGCCCATAACTTTCTAGGACAGTGTTTCTTAAACTTTTTGAGACCACGGAACTCCAAACAATAATATTTTTTTATGCGTAAAAAAAAAATTGTTGTCACACACAAAAAAAAGACAAAAACAAAGAAGAGGTTGTGGAACACCTGTGAGTTGTTTATGGAACACCAGTGTTTCGCAGAAAATAGTTTAAGGAACACTGTTCTAGGAAGATACAAAGTTCCAATCTGTTCTACCATCCTAGGTATATTTACCCCGTTGGTCAATACAGTTTTATGAGTGTTCAGTGGATGAGAATGACCATGAAACAAAATTCTCTCCCTTTCCTTATTTTAGGCCAAAACCAACAGCTGTTATTACGTGTCCCAATCAGATCCATCTGAGACTATGTCTAGACTACAGGCTTCTTTTGGAAGAAGCTTTTTTCGGAAGAGATCTTCTGAAAAAACTTCTTCCGAAAGAGAGCATCCACACTGCAAAAGTGCATCAAAAAAGGGATCTGCTTTTTCAAAAGAGAGCATCCAGACTGAATGGACGCTCTCTCGCATGTAAGCTGTGATTGCTATGGAGGGAATGGCCACCAGGGCACCTGTGCTTTTTTCCTCTTCTTCAGAAAGAACTCCCTCTTCCCCTTTCACAAAAAGGCTTCTTCCTCGTTGAATGAGGATTACCAATGCCAGAAAAACCCGTCTGTTCTTTCAATTTTCTTGCAGAACGCAATTGCAGTGTGGATGTTTCTCAAAAGTTGTCGGAAAAACAGCTGTTTTTCCGAAAAAATTCTGTAGAGTAGACATACTCTGAAATGCTGGTCATGGTTACCATCAGAGGCACAAAGCCATTGTACTAAAAGCAAGGAGTGTTCTCTTCCAGAAATTTCTACAGATACTAAATTTATAATGTTGCCTTCTTTTGCACAGGCCCTATAAAGAAAGTCTTTGAAATAAAAAACCAAAAATAAATCTTATGTAGATTTTATATAGATTCTAAGCATAAACAAAAAGCTTACCACTGAAGAGATTTTGCTAGTTTATGGACAAGGAAGCACTTAGTATTCTATGTACATATAACATAAGGGTGGCCATACTGGGTCAGACCAAAGGTCCATAACTCAGTATCCTGTCTTCCAACAGTGGCCAATGCCAGATGCCCCAGAGGGAATGAACAGAACAGATAATCATCAAGTGATCCCTCTCCTGTCATCCATCTCTAGCCTCTGACAAACAGAGGCTAGGGATACCATTCCTACCCATCCTGGCTAATAGCCATTGATGGACCTAACCTCCATGAATTTATCTAGTTCTTTTTTGAACCCTGTTAAAGTCCTGGGCTTCACCATATTCTCTGGCAAAGAGTTCCACAAGCTGACTATGCGCTGCATGAAGAAAAACTTCCTTTTGTTTGTTTTAAACCTGCTATCTATTAATTTCATTTAGTGACCCTTAATTCTTCTGTTATGGGAACAAGTAAATAACTTTTCCTTATTCACTTTTTCCACACCAGTCATGATTTTATAGACCTCTATCATATCCCCCCTTAGTCTCCTCTTTTCTAAGCTGAAATGTCCCAGTCTTTTTAATCTCTCTTCATATGGGATCCGATCCAAACCCCAAATCATTTTTATTGCCCTTTTCTGAACCTTTTCCAATGCCAATATATATATTTTTTGAGATGTATGTTGATAGCCTGTTGAAAATTATACATTTTGGTTTTGAAATCCTACTCAGACTTTTTCATGGAGTAGATTTCATGTTTGCAAGGGCTGAAATATTCTGTTGAAATTTAGTTTCTTAAGTGTTAGTCTAATAAAGATTCTTTACTAAGATCAGGAAAATTGCTTAGAACAACATTTAATTCAAGCTCCTTGTAACTATGGGGAAGCAGACAAATAATTTAAAAAGCAATGCAGAATTACTGCATAATATTTTATGTGGAACACATTATCAAAATTAAGAGGGACTCACATGCAAGCAAATTCTCAACTGGGATTATCAGACCAGGAACTATTTACAATCAATAAATTGAGATGAAAAAACACATCTATCTTTGCACCTGGTACCAAATGAACCAATAGTACCTGGTCCAGCAATCAGAGGCAGTGGAAAGTCTCCCCAGAAAAGTGGCTAGTATTCCACCAATAAGAATTTATATAGTGTATATAGTTATATAATCTGTGCTCTGTAAATAAAGTCTTTTCACACATACACCAGTTTCTTTATTCTGAGTATTCAGTCTGGGAAAGATCAAGGCATCTATATTTCCCATAAATGACAAAAGGCAATCTTTTATGAGGCAGATAAGAGAACTTTACAAATATTCCTGAGCAACACATGTACTGTAATGTTTCCTAGCCAAGGTTTCATGTAGATATCCTTTTCGTATAAGCAGTACAGCAATGCTACTAAAACAGGGCATCATTTCTTTGGATACATTTTATCAATCAGTATTGTCAACTGCATTTATTTTTGGGAGACCTGGTGACTAACTATGACCTTGGACATTTTATTGTGAGAACATTCATGCTTTGTTTTTATACCTCACATCAAGCTTTGGGATTTCGAACTCCATATGCTATAAATGCACTAAGAAGGAAAACAAACAAACAAACAAAAACAGAATAAGCATGGTGCTTTGGAAGTTCTGATTAACAGTTCATGGACAAAGGCTCTAAGATTCTAAGGGAAGGAAATAATCCTTTTAAAATTATTAAAAGATGAAACTGAAAGAGAGTCTGAGTCTTCTGAATTTCAATAAATACCCACATAGTGTGCATGGCCTTGTCAAGGTACTATCCTATGGCATGATCAGCGGGGTGAGATTAAGAATCTATGTCTCATTTCCTTCAAAGGCCATCTCCAGGCCTTGCACTTCAGTAGTCTCACATTTGGAAAAAGTATAGCTTGTACTACAAAGAAATCAGTGAAACTCCTCTCTTCTAGAAAAGTTAAAGGGGGGGAGGCAGCCAACTCTCACATCTAAGAAAGTGGCTGCTGAAGAATAAATGAAGACATTTTCTACATGGCACAGTCCTTCTCTCTTTTTCAGACAACAAATCAATATATATTTTCTACAATGCTGAAAACATGCAGCAGGAGGCATCACTCACCACTGCTGTTCCCCAGCTTCAAAGCCTTTCCTTAACAGTCTAACTGTAAATTAGAGAAAGAAATTGCCATTAACTACCAAATACCTCAAGTAGCAAGGGTCAGAGGGCTGTTCATCAGTAAGTTATGCAATTTAAACTTGAAAGACAAAAAGAATTTAAAGTAAATCACAAACTGAATGCCTCTGTTAACCTTACAGTTGGGGTATTCTATATTGTTATTCTGAAGTTAATGGGATTTCTGTTCTCTAATTTATAACTAACCTTTTGCACTCCCGTATTTTGATATCTATTCCTCTATACTAACAAACATTGGAGACAAAGGACACTTCAGGATGAATCTGTAACATAAGAGTGTGAATATGTGTAGTGTAAAAAGATGGATGTATGGATGCAGGTGAAAACCCAAATGATCTGCAGAAATCAGGAGGCTCATACTCGTATCAGGAGCAAGATTGACTATTTCCATTATTAAGGAAAAGAACAATAAATTCAAAAAGACTGGAAGAGGCTAACAGTTAACCAGGAATATATTACAGCCTGATACTACTGGTGTTATGTGTGGGAAACTTTCATGCAGTTATTAGGAGTTACATATAGGACAGATTGCAGGAACTGGTTCTAAAATGGAATTAGGCTACTTATGGTTGGAATTACCCCTTGTACAATTTACACTTTTAAAATGACTGTTCCCTGGCACAGGTTCCAAATAATTCCACAATTTTTTCTTTTTTTTCCTTGAGAAAAATGTGAAAACATTCTGATTTCCTTAAAATCTCAACACCATAACTAAAACACAGCTCTAATGCAGGGCCCTCTGCAATTAACCACCCTTGCATGTCACCCCAGTTATTTGGTTACTTGGGTTATACACTGTGGTGAAGGTTCAGTCTGTTGTGATATAAAATTAAGTCATTTCTGAGTTCCAGGAGTCAAACCCACCCCATCTTCCACAGTTAATTGAGTTTTCATTATTTTTTGTAAGTAAAAAGTTTGGCTTAATTAGTAGCTATATTTCTGAAAATTAAATAAAAAAGCAGGTGGCTTCTGACATTGTCTTCCTCAATGACTCAGTGACAGTGTTGCAGCTGAGCAGAAACTACCTAAGGCCTGGGAGCTAGCCCTAATTTTGAACGTGGAAATGTTTGTAATTCTTAGCTTTCCCTCCTCTCCATCAACACCTCCTAAATTTGCTTGACTTTGCATGTCACAAACATCACAATACATCAAGTTTACCACAGACCACATTAATATCATGAATGCACATAAACCATTAACTACTCGTGGTAAACGCCAATAAAAAACAATAAACCCATAATATTTTTACCACGTCTACAAGACACTAACCTGCTTTGCCCATTTCCCCTTTTCTCAGAGATCCTTCAGCCTGGCACCCAACTCTGTGACGAAGCCTGCTTAGCACCAGTGAAACTTCCCACATTCAGACTGACAACGTTCTGAGCAGAGATGAGGGAATCGAAGTTAAAATCCAACCCATCTGCATCCATGAGTTCGCTGCGGATAATGGACTCCATGTCACATTCCAAGCTTCCATTGAAAATATCCAGGTCCAAATCGCTTGGGAATTTATCGTGTCCCATGACTGGAAGGTTCATACTAGTGGAATACAAAGAAGAGCCTGAGAGTGAGTCAGAAAGTGTTTGCATAGACTGATTGACAGGTGACTGCTGCTGGTGTTTGGCCGACCCCAAGCTGTTTGTATCATTTAAGCCCATGTTACTGATGGAATTAGACAAGGCACGACTGCCACCAAGAGAAGAATTCTGAGATTGATGCTGGTGGTGGAGCAGGTTCTGATTGACCAAACTTCCCTGGTTGGACTGAGCAGCAAATGACATCATTGGATCACTACGAAGCATGATACTCCTGCGCGAGTTCTGGGCAGACACAGCTGTGCTGGCTTGAGACATGAGTGGATCAGACTGCGTCATCATGACATCACTGTGACTAAGTGAGTCAGATGCCAGGAGATCCTGCAGCGTCTGGCTGTTATAATGAGAAATGGAAGAAAAAGTAGCTTGCTTGTTCTCTTGAATGGTTTGCATGGGAGACTGACGAAGGGAATTCAGAGATGATGGGCCAAACACAGCACTGTTGAAATTACTTGACGGAGAACCAAGGCCTGAACCTTTGGAACCATATGGAAAACTGGAGCTTCTTTGCATGAGCCCCCCTGATGGTGACTGCTGGGAAGAGGGGAGCGTCATATTGTCCAAAAGATCATCCATGATGAGGTTATCTGTCAGTCCATCATTCAAGTTCATTGTGCCTGCCATATCAGTCAACCTAGGCAACTCAACAGTACATGGTTTATTTACCGATGGGGACATGCTTGATGGGCTACTGTACAGCATTGGAGAAAGTGGAGCGTCATCATCCTGAACTTCATCTAGTTCGGTACTCGCCAAGATAGGTGACAAACGACCACTTATTGTACTAGCGTTTGAATTTGTACGGGAGCGGAAATCGGTCCATGCATCCAGCTCATCGCTGCTGCGGGAAGTCGGGCTCCCCGGCCACTTGGAAAGCTGAGAGGGGCTATCCTCGCTGGCTTCTTGTGCAGCTTGCAGGGCTGCCTTTTTCTTCGCTGCTCGGCCTCTGCTCTTTGTGTACTTGTTGCTGTTGTCCATTGAAACGGCGCGTCTCCGTGGGGGCTTCCCACCTTTCCCGCCATCTGGGTTAATCATCCACCACGAGCTTTTCCCAGTTCCTTCGTTCTGTACCCTGATGAATCGACTGTGCAGTGACAAGTTATGCCGGATCGAGTTCTGTGGGAAAGGAACAGGAGAAGAAGGTCAGGGCAAGTACCATTTCCTCTGCTAGAAACCAAACCTAGAAATCAGATCAAAGTACTGGGCTGCTCTGGGCATCCGGCATTGCTCAGGGAGTGGACACATAGTGGCCAGGCGCTGGCTGTTAGCTGCGAGCAGGGCGTTCCCTTTGTGGAGAATGTCATGCTGCTGTAAAGCAGAGCCAGCTCCACCCTGTGTTAGCTGCCTTACCCCACCCCTCTTCACCCTTGACATAGAGAGCACTTCCAGGGAGATGGAAGTGGCTGAGCTCCACTCTGCTGAGCCCATCCTCCATTGGCATATAACCAGCAACTGAGCTGGGGACCACAGGACAAGGGAACTGCAACCGATACCCTGACCACGCACCCACCCCTCTGGGATGGGATGGGTGACAACTGAGCCCTCTGCAAGTTGTTCAGATTTTCAAATAATTCAAAAACAACAAACCAACCAACCAACCAACTAAAAACGGCATCACCAACTGCTAAGCCCAGGTCAATCTGTACCACTTCTGTTTTTCACTGACTAAAATGTCCTGCATACAGATTCAATTATCAGTTACTATTGTTCCAATTGCCAGTGAGAACTGCAAACCCTTCAGTAAAGATGAGTGAAAGGTTGTCTACTCTCATTGAAGCTTTTATAAGTACCTTGGTATTCTTTACTGAAATGCAATACTGTGTATGTATTATAACAATACTACAGTGCAAATCACACACAGAACTGCATTACTGTAGGTGGAGTGTAATTTTTCATTCTATTGTTGGAATAAGAATTATATATGACCCCACACCCACAGCATACTTATAGTCTCCCAAAGCTGGACTGCCATTGTGCACAGTAAAATCAGTAACACAGCAGGCTGTTAGTTACAGAAATCTACAGAACTCATAAAAGGTCCAATGAATCCCAAATCCTGCAAGAAGCCATCAGATGCACTGGGCAGAAGAAATTAAAAATAGTATTCTGCTTATGCATTGTCCAAAGGGTGTTGTGACTTCACACTATGGTGGCTGAACCCAATACAAAATCCTGAGAGAGACCCAGAAAATAGCTCACAGAAACTCAGATCAAATGCCACCAGATTTACACAAGTGTAACTGAGATCAAAATCTCATTCTAGAACCTCTGCTTAAAATTACAGATAAAAGGAATGTAAGAAGTTTGCTAATAAGAATTTGTATTTTTTTTTAAATTTTATGCACAAGTTAAAGAGTTTTGGACCTATGCCATTTATTTTGGCACACCAGCTGGACTAATGTTACATGTTAAATATGAACCAGTTTTAAGTCAGAGACGTTTTTTAAAATATCGGCAAACATCAGCTGTATCTATACGGAGGATACAAATACATGTGTTCCACCAGCATGTTTTAAGAAGAGAAAGTCAACAGGCTCTCTCATTGTAATCAAACAAGCTAGAATATTTTCCATGTTCAATGCATTGAAGAAATTCACGTTTCAATGGGACAAAGAACACATACAACTAACAATTATTCATAAACACATTAGCATTCCTACTATTAACATACAGGGACATTTGATGTAAGGGAAATGAAGACATACTGGCTATACCAAGAAATGTAGCCCAGATTATTTTTTCCCATTTCATTGATAGTGTATTTATCCGTTTCACTGATAGTATTTTTAATGTTGTAATTTTGATCAGATTCAGCACTGACATCCTCCACCTTGAATTATTCTTACACATGGGCAACAAAAACGACTTATGAAAAAGAAAAAAATGATAAACTACAGTTTGAAACAGGAATTGTTATTTTTAAACAATTTGCAGAGCATAGTGAACAAAACTCCATCACAACACTGAAGTTAAGTTTGTGTCAGCATCTCAATTATACACTCTTACATTTCTAATAGTACGTCTACACTAGCCCCCTTGATTGATCTAGGGAGGTTAATGAGGGTGACCGGAACTGCAAATCAAGCCTGGGATTTAAATATCCCGCGCTTGATTTGCATGTTCCCATCCAGTCGCCATTTTAGAAATTGACTAGCCCGAAGTAACTGCCTGTGTCTTCACGCGGCATTGAAACGGGATTCTGATTTAAAGCCCCTAATTCAAATTAGCTAGTAAACCTCATTGCAGGAGGAATACCAGCTAATTCAAGTTAGGGTTTTAAATTGGAATCCCGTTACACTGCTGTGTGTAGACGCAGGCAATTACTTTGGGCTAGTCAATTTCTAAAATGGCAACCAGCTGGGAACATGCAAATCAAGCACGGGATATTTAAATCCCGGGCTTGATTTGCAATTCCGGTCGCCCTCATTAGCCTCCCTAGATCGATCTAGGGGGCTAGGGCAGACGTACTCTTAGGGACTATAATGCTTTGAAAAAAGTATCAGAGGGGTAGCCGTGTTAGTCTGAATCTGCAAGAACAACGAGAAGTTCCTTGGCACCTTATAGAGACTAACAGTTAGATAGATATAAATATATCTATCTATCTGTTAGACTTTAAGGTGCCACAGGACTTCTCGCTTTGAAAAAAATTATTTTGGGTTCATTCTCAGCATCAAAGTTCATAGTCTAGCCTGGAGGGATTTTTTTTATTATTGAATTAGTGAGATTTTAACTATATTTAGGGCCCGGTAGAAATCTGTTTTAAATTATATTAACCAGATGCCACTATCCACTTACCTACTCTTCCCCAACTGGGCTCTTAAATAAACCATTTGAGTTTTTAAAATTTAACTGACATTTTCTATCTGAGACTCCAATCCTGCAACTGGATCCATGTGGATGGACACAACAAAGACTGGACACAAGTGAAATGACCAGCAATTATCCTAAAGCCAACAATCTTTAGTAAATCAGTAAAGTAAAACAAGAGCTGGTACATAAATGGAACTTTATGCAACTTGACACATAAAAACGAACGGCTTGAAATGTCATTCGCAACCTCAATGCAAAAGCAACCCACTGATTTCTGCTACCTTTAATCGTATCACATAAATCCCTGGCATGAGAAAGGCTGAGTGGCCTCAACTTGCATTGACTTCATGGATGGAAAGAGCTTCACAGCTAACAGGATCAGGTCCTAAATGGGGAGGGATGTAATTTGCACATATGGGGTGTGTCTAGACTACATGCCTCCGTCGACGGAGGCATGTAGTTTAGACGTACCCCAAATGTAATTTACAAACATTCACTTGTTGGGCATGTAACTCCCATTGAAATCAGGTCCTTCTTCCCATTACCCTGGGAATGGGTAGAAGGCCTCTGGAATGAGCACTCCCCATATAAGCCTCATTTGCAGCTGTTGCCCACCTGTTTGCTCTTGCCCTCAATCTATTGCTCCTACTTCCATCTCCTCTAGAGGTGGCTGCTGCTTCCCCTTCTAGCTCCATCCCACGTCATGTGGCTGCCTTCCTCATCTGACACCTAACCCCACATTGTGTGGCTCCCACATAACAAGGGAATTTTCAGGAAGCAGCACCAGCAGCATCTTCAGGCAATGGCTAGCTGTACCCTGTGCTTCAGCCTTCCCATACAGGGTACGTCTAAACTACATGCCTCCGTCGACGGAGGCATGTAGTTTAGACGTACCCTTATTGCATGCTCATCTCTTTTGGGGCACAAGGTGGGCATTACACAAAGAAAATAAAATTAAAATAAAATAAAAAAATTCTCCACTGAAAATTGATGGTTATGAAAAATCCAGGCAGTTTGTTTTCATGTAAGTTACACAAAATGCCATTTACACACCAGCTCTGGTTTTCCTTTACTGGTTTCTGTAAGATTGTTTGCTGCAGCATAACTGATGCCAATTTACTTTTGTGTCCCACTCCCCACTCCTCTGCCTCTCAATCTCCATACACAAAGGGTCTTCCCATTCCCTTTTCAAATACTTTGAAACATATTTTGTGTAGCCTTCCTACATTACTCCTTTCACAATGTCTTGATACCTTCTGGAACTACCATCTCATGTATCACGTCTATCCAAGTTCAACTGAATTTTGCCCTTATTCTGCTGTTTTTTCTTTTGTTGGCATTCCCACTAAAGTCAATGTGATGGATTATTCTAGTGAGCAAAGGCTATAGGATCTATCCTTCAGCTTGTAAAATGCATGGGAGCGAACCTCTTTGACAGAGGTTTTGAAGTGTCATGAGGACTTCTTATCACAGTCATTAGAAAATGTAAAAGAATCTGAAAAAAATATTCACTCACAAAAATGTGCATTAGAAATATATCATCCTTGTGGTAAAGCCCAAACAGAAATACCCCAGGAAATTGCAAAGCGAGGATTCAATCTGGCTCCTATGTTTTGCCTTTGATGCCAAGGGGAGCAGGATTAGGTCATTAAGGCTATGTCTACATAGCAGCCTTATTTTGGAATAAAGAACATAGTCTGCGCCTACACACAAGCAAGCTGGAGGACTTCTTACTTCATTTCCCGTAACCCTCACTGTATGAGGAGTAAGCGAAGTTGGGGGAACAGCGCTCTACCTCAAAATAACTGCTGTGTAGACAGGGCCAAAAGTCGAAATAAGCTATTTTGACTTAAGCTACACAATTAGGTAGCTCAAGTTTTGTAGCTTATTTGAGTTTAGCCTTGCTGTGTAGATGTGCCTTACAATGGAAATGTAACCAGTGGTTCCATGCCTAATGAAATACTTTAAAGAAACTACACTGGCACTCTTGTGGCACTATACTAGAGGAAATACATGAGACAGATGCTAGTTGTGTTGTTTAATGAATCAGTGGAAGGGGCCCAGTGATAGGTGCAATATAAGGATCAGTATAAGAACAAAATAGAAAAAATATGGTGTATTCTTCCATTTATTGTCTACAGTGCCCAATGTGTGCTACATGCTTTATCAACAGAATAGGTCGTCCTTACAGTCTAAAATCTAATGTTTACAGTATTGATATGTATATATAGGTGCGGTCCCTAGTACAACTGGGCCTTGATCTCCCAATGGGCACTTCTGCACTACAGATATTAAGAGCAATAATA